GGGCCGGAAGGGCGTAACTCCTGAGAAGCACGCTAATTCCACATCCCCGTTATTGCTGTCATTTTCGGCGGCCCCCCCTTTCCTTATACCCGCCCGCTGCGCCCGCCCCGCCCCGCCCTGGGTGGTCGTGGCCGGCGCGGGTCGCGCTGGCTCCCGTGCGCGTGCGGTATGGGCGCGCCCGCTGCCCGCCCGCGCTCGCCGCCCGTCCCCCTTGCACCTTTGCGGCGGCCGCGGCGAGTTGGACAGAGAAGCAAGGGACGCATACTATACGTATACCGTACTCATGTTCGGCTGCCCCTTGCCCTTGCCCCGCCGCGCCCGGCACCGCAAGGGGCCAACGACCCTTCTCGGCGCTACCCGCGCCCGCCCGCCGGGGTGGTCGCTCGCCTGACCATCCGCCACCGCTGGAACGCATAGGCAACGCGGGGCCGCGGCCGCCGCGCGCCGGGGCCCGGCTCATATGCATAGCGTCAGCGGCACACACAAAAACGGTGGCAACGTGGGAATCGAATGCGGTCGACTGGGTTCGGTCCACTGGACATAATCGAATCTGTTTGGGAAACCAGTAGTGTTACTGCTCTGTGTATGTGACTCGACAAAATTTTCGCGCAGTTTTGAAACAAATTTCCTGTTTCCGCGAAATGTCGATAGCACGGCACTTCCTTTTTCGTACACTACAGAGTACATATTATGATGACAAATGACTGTGACTATTCCGGTGAATTGCTACTATCGGCGTCTCTTCAAATCTCTCTCTCTAGGCGTCACACGTCAGTACCATCACACGCATATCCTTACTATAGTGTAATAAGGGATTTGGTAGAGCCACGTGCCCAACCATCTTGGTGGCACAGCGTACCCAGCAACAACGAACGCCTCCCCACGCCACGCCACGGGCATAGGAGGGCGGCGTCGTTTATTCGTCAGGAGCACGCCACGCTTACACCCGAGCAGCGCACACAAATTGATTACAATGAGGCGGCCGTTGTTGTTGGAGGCGTGAGGGGCACGACCTGCAGCGCGGACACGACGCCCCACCCCGAGTCCACCGCGCGCAGCAGCCCCGTGAGGGGGGAAGGTTGCGACGACGCGGGATCACCCAGAGAGTACGCGTTCGTCATTCACCAGTTCGCACGTAAGTCCAGCCCCACTATCCAGCCCACTACACTGCAAGCTCTCATGGCGCCTGGTGGGTAGGCAACACCTCGCCTGCAGCGCATGCGTGTACCGCGGGGTGGCCTACCCCGAGTTTCGCAGGCGCCAAGCTCCCGCAATTTGCCGCGAATGGATCTGAGCAAAGCCGATACAAAAATTTTACATCCGTGACGACACAAGGGTCACACAGCTTGCTGATCGCGTTCACTCGGCTTCGCGGCAGTTTATGAATCGAACACCGCGGACGTGATTCGGTCCCACACTCGGGTTCGCAGGCCTCCGTCGTCAGCAGCGGTCAGCAGCCGCGAGGAGGAAAGAGGGCCTCAAATGTGCAGAGGTCCGCAGGTCCGCGCCGGCGCGGCCTGGTGTCGCGGTGCTCGCGTCCGTCTCTTACCTCATACGGCTTGCTCAGCAGCAGCAGCAGCAGCAGCGGGACCGCGCGCCCCGGCCGGCGGCTCGAGCGAGGGTGTGAGTGTATGTGACGACTCCAGGCACGCCCACTCGCACAACAAGCACTTGCCCGCGACCGCTAACCCGCTGGACAAACTATCGCGCGTCCAGTCACACGCACTCGCGCGCGCCCGCGCGTTCGTTCGCGAGAAGTGACACACAGGTCCCCGTCACGTGTGACGACGACGACGACGACGCCGGTGGTGGTGGTGGTGTGAGCCGGCACAACGTGCGCCACGGGCCGCAGAGCCTATCGCCGACCGGCCGGCGTCGAGAGCAGCAGTCGACTGCCGCGAGTGAGAGAGAGGAGGGGAGGGGGCCGGCGCTGGCGGGGGCGTGGTGGTGGCGGCGCTAGCGGGGAGGGGAAGGGAGCGGCGGCCCGGGTCCTTGTCCCGCTCGGATTGGAGGAGTGAGAGGGGCGGGGCGGCGCGGTGACAGGTGAGGAGACGACTCCTCTGCACAAGATGCACTCGCCCTCGCAGGTAATTGCAGGGGCCTGTCCAGTCCAATGAGAGGAAGGGGGGGGGGGAGCAGACCTGTCCTATATGATGGTGTTTGAACACGCAACCGGATAGTCAACACCCATGTCGTCCCGCGTGCTGCTGCCCCTGACCGTTGTAGTTCAGCTTCATTACCATGAAGACCGAAAAAACGAAATAAAAAATGAAGGGAAGGTGTGAGAGGGGAGGGGGGCTGCAGCCTGAGCACCGGTGAATATACTAGCCCGCAACGCACGCGAGAGCTGGCGTTGCCCGGAGAGGTTTTGTCACGAAACAGAGGTGCGGTTCGGCAGGTTCCAAAAGCGTGATTCGACGCTTGATTTTTATTATTATTATACTTTAATATCACATTTGGCAGTTGTGAGGCCACCGAGGATAGGGTATCACATCTTTAATGTTTGGTATGTTTAGCAAGCACTGAAGGTACCGTTCATACCCCATACCAAAGCCACCAGTGGTGACATTTCCAAATCTACGTAAATCAACATACCAGGACATTTTTTCCTCTAATCCTCGTTCTTTTAGAACAGATGACAATAATTCCACATTGTCCTCCCTGACACTGCCACCACAGAGTTCTCCAACAACTGGCACAAGAAGATCAACAGCAGCTACCTGCAACAGAGATATTTATGAATTTACACCATCTAAAAGAAATATTGCACTTTGTAAGGAAAACATTAAGATGGAGACGTACTGTGGAATTGTCTTTTGACCTCTTCATATAGAATGCTTTTAAATGGGCAGGCCAATCCACAACGAATATCGGTCTGTTGGAGTTATGCTTCACAAGATAAAGTTCATGTTCTTTAGAAAGTCCATCCTCAAAAGCTGGCCTAACTTTAAAATTTGTCTTTGATCTGGACAAAATGTCAAATGCTTCCTTGTAGGACATTACTGTGTACGGGTCATTGGAAAGGAAAGTGTTCTTAATGCCCTCTTCATTTAAGGGCTCAACCTGTGAATTTAATGATTTTGATTAGATTCACTACATTGACAAAAACCAGGTGGAAAATATGTATCACAATATTAACTAGGTTGTAATATTATTGTTTACCTCATACTCCAACACATCGGCACCACTTGTTTTCTGATGGATTTGAACTTTTCTAATGCATTCTAGATCAGCTTGAGTAGAATCTAAGATACGTTGAGTGACATTTCTCAGCATACTTTCTATGGTAGACAATACAGGTTCTATTGAGCTACTGCTTAGAACTTCTTCTGTTTCTAGCATGTTAAATTCGGCTAAATGAAGACGTGATTTTGAGTTTTCGGCTCGAAATGTTGGACCAAATGTGTACACTTGTCCTAAACCCCTGTACACAAAGTTGAAAAGTGTAAACTTTTCGAACAAGAGCAGAAATAGACACAAAGTTGAAAAGCTCTTACCTGACAGCAGACTCTAGATGCATTTGACCTGAAACGGTTAGGTATGTCTTGGAATCAAAGAAGGCTTCATCCTCTGAAACACCCGTTTTCGCCATAGTTTTAAGCAGATTTTTGCTATCTGGTTTAACAGAGAAGACCTCTCCTCCACCTTCACAGTCAAATGATGTAAGGATTGGGGTATTAACTTCATAGAAGCCTTGTTTACACAGATGATCTCTAAATGCATTAGATGCACAACTTCGTATTCTTAACACAGAACTGAATAGATTAGTTCGAGGCCTAAACTGCAGATGTTGACGAACATACTCCATGCTATATGTCGACTTTGGCGCGAAAGGGTAACCGTCATTATGATTGCATGATCCAATGACTTCAACATTATCTGCTAAAATTTCTATTTGCCCCTTACTTCCAAATGTTTGGACAGTTCCGTCAATCTTAACAGAAGCTCCAACATCAAATTGAGGAAGAATATTTTTTGGAAGGGCAACTTGCAGTTTTTCAGCTGTAGATCCATCCGCAACGTCAATAAAAGTCAATGCTTTCATTTTTCGTTTAGATTTAATCCATCCCTAATGTAAAAAGAGAGGAAAGTTACTGGCAATGAAGTAAAATCAAGAATTTAAATGTAAAACATGTAACGAAGACATGGTCTAACCTGTACTTTAATATGATTCCCAACTGGTTTGGACTCAATTAACGCTGATATTTTCGTAAACCGACGGAAACTTTGATAATTCACATGCGCCGCCCTCGGAAATAAGTTACTAATACGCAAAAATATCATTTTTACAGTCAGGTCAGCGATTTCTTTCACAAATTTTCAAAATTGTTTCGCAGACAACATTTCATATCGCCGCCAGACCCCCCCACCATCTTGTCGTTGCCAACACACAACGCCAAATGCCTCACATTAATTTTGCTTCAGCGTGTAAATGCAGGCTTTAAAACAATCAAAATTACAGGTTACAGCTCAAAATTATTTAATTTCTGTATATTTCAACCATCCTGTTCTCAACTAAGGAAAGATACTGCCTTGAAAACTAACAAACAGAACCCATGTCAAAACCAAATCCTGGCTGGAACAGGCGTAGCTATCTTTGATCCAAACCAACGCAGACGTCGGAAGAGAACGCGGTTGTGAAACAATGGAGGAAAACTGAGAAGTCCTCTGAGAATCGATCCTTGTAATGTACTCTTCAAGACCTGCCAGTGACGCTTAAATAAGATTTTATGAAAAATCAAAGGATACCGCACTGAAAACAAAATCTTCCCTTCAAAATGTTTGTAAACACAAAGTGCTGAAGTGTTCCCAGTGTTGTGGCCTTCCAGGCGAAAATATGACCCAAACCAAGCTTTTACAAGATATAGCCTAGCGTAGGCTGTCTGTCGGCGACTGGCGTACATCATCAGATTGCGAATTGTGGCTTTCTCAGTGTCAACATCAACTCATTTTTCATCAAAAATGCGAGAGTGAGTTTGAAATGTGTTAAAAAATGCTGTATAGACTCTGAAGGTCACTATGTTCAGGCCGTGTTTGTCGCTCCTTTATCACGGATGTAAACAGCCCGGCATCATGTGCATGCCCCTCATTATACACACTTTACATGAGCAAAACGAACAAATGTATGAAAATTATTCACTTTGACTATCCTGTATATCAATCCAATCGAATTTTATCTTGCATTTTTGAATGGGGCTTCAGTAGGTTACAATGTAACCTTCACTGTTTACTTCCACCTGTCCCTCACGTACTGTGACATTTTTGTCATTTTTTTGTCGTTTTCAATCAAATTTTGGAAGAGTTTTAACTTTAACCTATTGTATTTATTACTGTTCGTACGTTTATCTTACAGTTGATATCAGATCTAGTGATTTTAAAAGTTTGGGTGTGATCATAACCTTACCCAATTTGCATATCAATTAACCATTTTCACACGACCTCTCTAAATTATTCATTTGCTAACTGTTTTGTAGTTTAAAATTATGAGAGCACATTGTTCATCCAATTCTGATCAAAATCAATTTAAAAGTGTGTATTTCCCCTTATTAATGATAATTTTTAAAATTTCAATTGACCCGCATCATAACATTTTCAAAAATTGAATTATCAGGTTTTTGCTGACATTTTTCTATTCTTTTAAGGTGATTTGCTTACATCCTGGCCAGCAATATGTCTGCATCCGCGCAGGGTGAGGCTCCTGCTCCCCCAGCAGCCCCGGGGGCAGAGCCCAACCCATACGTAAGTGCCATTCATTTGGGAAATTAATTGATTGAATTAAAAATTCAATTCTTACCTCAGATTATCTATGTATAATATTTAACCTGATGCTCATTCATTAATTATACTACTTAAATACTACCTACAATGTATTAATGAGTGGTTTTAATTTATGGTATTTTGTTCAGGCGCGGTTGCCAGATTACCGACCAGACTTTACGGGGCTGCCTCCTGATCCAGAATTTTTGAAAGAACGTGAAGAGATACGATGGGAGCCTGGAATGACACTCGATGGAGATTTGTTGATGTATTTACGGGCTGCCCGATCTATGGCAGCTTTTGCTGGCATGTGTGATGGGGGCTCCCCAGATGATGGTTGTGTTGCTGCCTCTAGAGATGACACAACCATCAATGCCTTGGATGTCCTCCATGACTCAGGATATGATCCTGGTAAAGCACTACAGGCGTTAGTAAAATGTCCTGCACCCAGAGGCATTGACAAGAAGTGGTGTGAAGAAGAGACCGTAAGTTCATTTGCACCATAGTTTGAATCAATGTTTGTGGAAATGAATGGGCCGTTATTTTTAAAATCATTACATTTTTGCCATTACAGAAACGATTTGTCAAAGGGCTTCGTCAATTTGGCAAAAACTTCTTCAGGATACGAAAAGACCTGCTTCCTCACAAAGAAACTGTATGTATTCCTATCTTATTATTTTAGAATATATGTTTGAAGTTAGTTCCTTTTGTCTAACTTGTTATTTTGTTTGTGCCATTCATCTTTATTTAGCCTGAATTAGTGGAATATTATTATTTGTGGAAAAAGACACCTGGAGCCAACAATAATAGACCACACCGACGGAGGAGAGCAGGATCTCTGCGCCGGGCCAGAACTACTCGAAGTACACGCTCAGGAACTCCCAAGGAAGAGCAAGGTCAGGACTCCCAATCCTACTATATCTACTTTTAATTTTTTTTTTTTTATTACTATCTAAGTTTTAGAATGAGGGTTTAAAAGTAATATCCAGGTGAATTGTGTCCCATAACCAAATTTATGATGACTGTCCCAGCAATGCTTGCTCTAGCCCTAGCTGCTATCATAGCTCACATTTTAATACCTAAATTAAATACCAAGCTTGCAATTTTCAGTTACGTCTTATGAGAACTGCTCTTTGCCGTACTTTTTCCATCTGAATTTTTAATAGCTTATTTATAATAGCTTTTGCATGTGGCAGAAGCACATGCACATCGACTTAGGCAGTTCTGCTTAATTAATTTCATTCAGTCACAATGTCCTTATTTGCTTTGCAATGCTATCAGACTGCTTATCTGCCACCACTTTCCAAATATCATCTGAAACTTCATTTCGTCAATATGCTTTAATTCAACTTCCAATTACCATTGCTTTGAATTGATGCTGGTTCACATTGAGATTTAAGCAACCTAGTTTCCTGTGAAATTAGATTAGATCCAAGCAAATCCCTCTCCTACAACTCCTTTCCTTGTGCTTGCTTTGCTTTTCGCTTGCATTTTGATGATGGGACTCAAATGTTTATTGCTCCGGCAGTTGATGAAAGTGCCGGTGTTGTTGCAGCAGCAGGTGCACGGCCATCACCCAATCCTAAGGAGTCAGGTGAGTGGGACTTGAAAGTCTGTAGTGTCCTGAGCCCAGAGATACTGTAACCAAATAGTGTACCTTGGAGTGTTCTGTGTTCGGGGGCATATCTCAGGCGTCAGAATCGGTACAGAATTATGTATTGTGTGTTTCTCACTTATAAATTGACATGCAATTTTTCTTGTGTGCAGGTGATGAGAATTCTGGCAGTGAGGAGGAGAATGAAGATGAAGATGATTCTGATTCTCGGGACAGGGAAAACTCAGATCAGTGCCACCACTGTGCTCAGCGTAAGTACAATGTCTGCACTTAATTATAATGATTTATATCTGTATTGTGCATACAATTTTTAATCTGTGTAACAGGAACTACGGATCTTGCTCCTGGTGGGACGAAAGATCGACCACTACTTTGTGCAGACTGTCGCTCTCATCTGAAAAAGTCTGGCGAACTTCCTCCCTTACCTCCCAAGGGAAATGGAGATAACAATCGTAGTGATGCCCCCTATCTATTTAGGCCTGTCCAGACTGATAGTCCAGATGGCTCTCCAAGCCGGATGCGGACCAGAAACAAAAATGCTGCCACTGCAAACGAGGCTAGTATAATATTTTTTATCTTTACAAAATTGAATTAATAATTTTGTTTCACTTGCTTATCTAAGTGCCTGCTGATGTTTTCAGACTGGGACTCGGCCCTCCAGACCAAAGAGGAGTGGCACATCTACACCTGACAGTGAATTAGAAAAGAAAACTGGTTGCAAGAGCCCAGGAGCCTCAAGTTCTACCTCTGGATCAGGTTCTCCAAGTGATAAGGCTAAGAAAAAGGTATAACTTTTACTTCTAATTACTTTTGTGTCATTCACAGTTTTCATTGTTTCTTCTTTAATCATAATTGTTGTTTTAATATCCTAAGAAATTGGAAACACCAACCAAAGGAAAGAAAAGACCACCCATTGATTTGGATGGGGACGAAGACAAGGACTTCAAACGCAAAAAGGGTGAAAGACCTGAGGTAATTAGAAGATAAATAAAGGTTGTTTTCATACCCAGCTTCTTTGTGTATGTTCTAAATTTTATTTTATTTTTTTCAGAGCCCCTCCGAAAGCCTAACTACTGACAGTGGTTCAGTGGCTGACGATGCTGACAATAATGACAATGAAGTAGAAGGAGGAGATTCACAAGCTGATAATTCTGATAATAAGGCAGCAGTTAAATTGGACCCTGACAGCAAATCTGGAATAAAATTGGAGGATGTGAAACCTTTATTGGGCGAAAACAAGTCTGATCTTCCACTGAAGGTGGAAGATGTGAAGGACTCAGCATTGCTCAACATTAAGAAGGAGGATGGTTTGATAGGCTCGGTTCCATCAGGTTTGAATGTGGGTATTACTGTGATGCCTGTGTCCACATCAACAGACAATCACCCATGTAAGGAAGACCCAGCAGTACCAATTAAGCTTGAGCCAGGATTGAATCGATCAGAAGAGGGACAGGTTCAATTCACAACTCCTAATCCGTTGCCCAATCCAAATCCCGTTACTGGACCTAATTTGTTGCCTGGCCACAACTCTCTTCCGGTGTCCTTGCCAGGACAGATGCCAGCACCTCTGCCTGGACAGGTTTGTTCTCTAGTGCTCAAGTTCAATTCCATGCATAATTTCTTGCCAGATTTTACATCACTACTTTTCTCTTTTAGATGCCCGGTGTGCTACCTGGGTCAATGATTGGCCTCTCCCTTGGCCCACAGGGAACTCAAATCAATGGTACCCAAAGCCAAAGGTCAGGACAATCATCCCAAGGGCAGCAGCAGCAACAGCAGCAGCAGCAACAACAGCAACAGCAACCACCCCAACAGTCTTCGCAACAACCCAGCCAACAGTCTGGCCAGGCCAGTCAGCAGAGCCCACCCAGTGGACCCTCTGGTCCTTCAGGGCCTTCCGGTGGTCCCTCTGGCGGCCCTTCGGGTCCCCCGGGCCCACCCGGTCCACCAGGACCTCCGGGACCTCCTGGACCCCCCGGACCGCAGGGCCCACCCCCAGGACAGGGCCCGCGACCCACGTCACCCCTGCAGCAAGGACAGCAGTCCGGTCAGCAGCCTCCGTCCTCCCCGAGCCAGGCTGGCCAAGGCGACAACGGCAAGCCCACCGCCAACGGGCCCAGCAGCGGGCAGAGCAGCACTCAGGGCACGCCGGGGCACTCGCCTGGCGAGGCCCCCAACGGCAAGGCGCCGAGCCCTCAGGGACCACCTGGCACTCCATCGGCCACCCCCGTGCAAGACGGTGCCCTCCCGCCCACACCGGGACAGGTGCAGCAACCCAGCCCTGCGCCCCAGGACGGCTCGGTGGACGGGCAGACCACATCCCCCGAGAGCGCCAAGCCGAGCGACGCGGAGAAGTCTCCTCCGGAGGAGAAGGAGAAGCCGCCTCCACCAGGTCCCCCTGTTGGCGCACCTGGGCTCCCAGTCCCAGGGATGCCTCCGGGACTCGGACTGCCGTCGAGACCATCGCTGGCCAACATGATGGCCGCGCTTCCACCAGGACTCCAGGCTGGACTCCAAGCTGGGCTTCCGCCAGGACTACCATCGAGCATGACGGGCTCTCCGAGCTACCCTTTCCTCAACCCGGCTCAGCAGGCCCAGTACCAGCAGTACCTCCAACAACAATGGGGTGGCGCAAGCATTCCGCCTGGACCTGGAGGACCACCGCCCGGACTCGGAGCGCCTCCGGGTCCTGGCGCACCGGCCGCGCGTAGCAGCACTCCAACTTCCGGACCTTTATCAGCCCCAGGAACTCCGGGTGCTCCCAGCACTCCGGGCGCCCCAGCTCCTGGAGGGCCGCCAACCCCCGGCATCTTGGCTCCTAATGGCATTCCTCCTAGCCCCCTTCCCCCGGGGCCATTGCCTCCCGGCGCTTTAGCTGCTGGTGGAATGCCTCCAGGCGGCATGCCCCCTGGCGGACTGCCTCCTGGTGCCTTGCCTCCAGGCGGTTTGCCCCCAAGCGGCTTGCCTCCAGGCAGCCTGCCACCAGGCTCACTGCCACCCGGAGCCGTTCCTCCGGGCGGCATTCCCCCATCTGGCCTGCCTCCGGGTCCTCTCCCTCCGGGTGCGTTGCCTCCGGGCGCTCTGCCTCCGGGCGGTCTGCCTCCAGGCCTCGTTCCCCCGAGCCTGATGTCGGGAGCCATGCCGGGTGCGGCGGCCACTCAATCCGAGCCGCAGAACCTCAAGATCAAACAGGAGATCACGACACCCACGGAGCCCCTGCAGCTCACCCCCATGTCCGACCCTCTCCAGTCCCTGAAGGACGTCAAGGTGCCGGGCTACACGGCGCCCCCGCTCGCCACGCTGGACTCCATCAAAACGGAGCAGCCCGACCCGCCGTCGCAGCCGCACGCACCACCGCCCAAGACGCCGCCCAACAAGCCGCGCTCGGTGACACCCACCGACGCCTCCCGCCCGGTCAACACGCCCCCGTCGCTGCCGCGGGCGCCCTCGCGGCACACGCCGCCCGTGCACCACGGCCCGGGCAGTGCCAACCCCCCGACGTCCATCCCCCAGCCCGTGATGCACCCCTCGCAGCAGCCCTCGCCGCTCAACCGCATGTCGCCGGCGCACCCGCTGGCGCACCCGCACGCCTTCGTGGCCCCCATGCACCACCACCCGCTCATGGGCCACCACCCGCTGCTGACGGCGGCCGCCCTGCACAACGCGGGCGTGCCCCACCCCTACGCCCACCCCGCCCACTACGGCGGCTACGGCTACCCCTTCCCTTACCCCTACCCCATCCCGCAGCCCGTGCCCCCGCCTTCCAGGATGCACGAACCGCCAAAGCCCCCGACACCTCGCGACGGGTAAGTACTGCCCCCTCTTACGCTACGCCTGCTGAGCAAGCCCTGCTCCTTGTGCGAGCGGACAGCAAACTCTTACCTCTTCTCTTTCTTCCTCAGGTACTCCGCGGAGAGCGCGGCGCTGATCAACGCCCACAACCAACTTCGGAGGGAGTCTGCCGCCCAGGAGGAGGCGAACCAGGAGGCGGCCGCGGCGGCCGCAGCAGCAGCGCACCACGGCGCTCACGGCGGCCACGGCGGCCACCACGGCGCGCCCGGCGGCCACAACAAGATGCCCCTGTCACACTCCGGCAGCTCCAGCCAACACAAGTCGTCCAACAAGCGGCCGGCCAGCCCCGGCGGGCCGCCCACCTCGGCCCCGCACGTGACGGGCAGCATGTCGCAGACCTCGGCCTCCATCGTGCAGAGCGGGCACGGCGCGCACCACCACCCACACCACCTGCACTCCTCGCCCTCCCCGGGCAACAAGATCCACCACCCGCTTCCGTCCCACCTCCAGGGCCACGCCGGCCACCCGGGGCATCCGGGTCACCCCGGCCACCCCGCCTTCGCGCCGATCCAGGGCTCTTCCTTGGACGCCCTCCGCGCTCACGCTCAGGCCGCCGCCAACATGCAGCAGCAGCACGGGGGTCCGCACCGTCACGACGACGGTCTCAAGCCCGACGACGGAGACCACGGAGAGGAGGAGGAAGTGCCAAGCCCCACTCACATTCCGCGAGGACCCAGCCCCGAACCCAAGATCGAGGACTCCGAGTGCCACCGAAGTCAAAGTGCCATTTTCTTGAAACACTGGAACCGCGGCGATTTCAACTCGTGCTGTCGTACCGACTTGACATTCAAACCTGTTCCTGACTCTAAACTCGCCAGAAAACGAGAAGAGAAGCTTAGAAAACAGGCAGAAAAGGAGAGAGAAGAGAGGGAAAAGGCTGAGGCGAGGAAGAACGCGACACCTGAAAAACCTGATGGTAAACCTCCCTCTAGAGGACCCATTGACACTGTGACACCTCCGTATGATAGATTTGGACCTCGCCCTGGTTATCCAGATACGCCTGCTCTCCGACAGCTGAGGTATGTGACCTACCTTTAATTTGCTGTTTTATATCTTCTCAATCATATCATATTAAGACTGTAATTTTATTTTTCTTTCCAGTGAGTATGCCCGACCACATGCAGGATTTTCTCCTGGAGCTCTGCAGCGCTCAGCTGCCATGGGCATTCCTCCACATTGTATGGATCCCATCATGCAATATCAGCTGAACATGTATGCACCTGGAGCAAGGGAAAGGTGAGCACATAATGATACCATCTATTAGTGAGGACTTGTTTGACAAATTACTTTTTTTTTAAACTTTGGAACCTGTGTTTTCTTTAGAATGGAACTAGAAGAATTGGATCGCCAAAAACGTGAGAGAGAACTAAGAGAATTGAGAGAAAGAGAGTTGAATGATCGACTTAAAGAGGAAATTATGAAGAATGCTGCTGCTGGGGCTGGTGGTCCTAGACTTCCTGGACAACTAGATCCTCATTGGTTAGAACTTCACCGACGGTAAGTTTTATAAATCTAATCTTATTTGATTTTTTTTATTGTGTGACTCAATTGATTAAATTAATACTTTCCATTGATTAATAGGTATACCAGCTTAGGGCCTGGAGGACCTCCTCAAGGACCTGCATCTTTACATCAGTTTGGCCTCTATCAACCTCAGGGTCCAGGTGGATTGCCAAGCACACTCAGCAATAGCCTCAACCAGTTGGAGCGAGAAAGACTTGAACGACTAGGTGCATATTTGCATGATCTTCCTTCTATTTTTGATCTACTACATCAAGTTGCTAAGATTTGATACCGAATGTGCATAAGTACCTTGGTTGAAAAGCCTTTAGCAATTTTGAGCTGTGTTAGTGTGTGTGGGTGTGCTTTGTTTTAGTTGGTGTGTGTGTTTTGTTTTAAGATATTCTTTGCAACTGGTTGACTAAATTTTGGTGTGGATTTCTTCTTTTCTCTTCGTCAAATTATTCATTTTTCTATCCCATTTTGGATTTCTTATTTTAATAATCATCCAGTAAAATTGAAAATGAGCTTTTTGTTGCTTACAGTAATGTTATGTTTCACTACTGAGAATCCTTACAAGGGGGCTTAGGCAAGTGTAAATTCCTGATCTTGCCCAAACTCGGTACATTTGTTTCTTATCTATGTTGATGACGACTGACGGTAGTATTTTTTCCTGAGAGTCAATTTCTAGGGTACTTTAGGGGAGGGAATAATGGAAAAAATATTGAATTTGGACCAAAAATGACGGAAGGAGGCCTCAAATCGAAAAGTGTCAGAGGAACTACCCCCCCAAAACCACTCATTTTGAGTCAGAATATCACTTAATATTTGTACAAAAGTAGAAATTTGTATTTTGTGAAATTATACGCTTTTATAGGGAGTTTCGGCACTTGACTCTCAGGAAAAAATTTGGTCGGCTTTCGTCACCTACATAGATAAGCAGCAAATATACCGAGTTTAGGCACGATCGGGAATTTACACTTGCCTAAGTCCCCTTGTTAGCTCTATGTATCAATTGGGGTTGCACCAATCAGTTGATTCTTCTTTTAAGTTACTTCATTTATCTAGTTTGACATCTATTCTAAACTTTTTATTATTATTATTTTTTTGTAAAGTGCTTTTTTCAATGGCCCAATAGCTCCCCCAAGTTAGTGTTAGGATTTCTTGTTGTCTTGCCATATTGAAACTAGAACCATGAAATCTGGGATTCATTGGACACTTGACCCTTGGCCTTAATAACTCTTTCGGCTTTTTTTTTTTTTTTATCTCAAAGCGCTGACAACTTTTACATACCACCCTTTTGCCTGCAACTAGTCAAAGCTTTCCCCCCATATCTGACTCGTCTGTCCCTCCAGTTAGGAGCTTTAGACGGGCGGGCCGTGCTTTCTGCAGCCAAGGGGACAAAGTTGTGGTGGCCAGCTCGAATCTTATTGTGGGTGTCTGATAAGTCAACGGTGGTGGTGTGCACAGGATTCCCTGGCCACGGCGGGACAGGGCCCCCAGGCCAAGGTCCCACACCTGGCCGGCCAACCAGTACAGGTCCCCCAGCTCCTGGGCCACCCCCGGGCTCTGGGTCCCACCACAACGCCAGGGCCACCCCCGGCTCCGCCCCCGGCCCTGGCCCCAGCCCCGCCCCCGTGCTCCCCCTGGGGCCGGGGTCCATGGGCGCTGCCGCTGCCGCCGCTGCCATGGGCCTGGGCGCCCAACTGGAGGCAGCGCAGGCGGCCGAGAGGCTGGCGCTCGCCGCCGACCCCATGGTGCGGCTGCGGCTGGCCGGCATCTCGCCCGAGTACCACGCCCACTCGCACGCCCACTCACACACGCACGCCCACTCCCACACGCACCTGCACCTGCACCAGGCCCAGCAGGAGGCCGCCGCGGCCGCCGCGGGATTCCCCCTGTCAGGTGAACGCAACGCTATGCAGGGCTGCGTCTGGTCTGGCTGCGTTCTGAAACGGGTCTGAAGTGTGCGTCCAAATTTGACACCGTCTAGGCTGTGCCTGCCGCGTTTGTAAATTCGAAAGCCAATTTCTAGGAATCTATATTTGGGTTGGGTTGGGTGTATGAGTGTCCCAAACCACACTGCACACTTGGGTTTTGCTTCTGGGCGCAGTCTTCAGACACAATCCTACACCTACTCGTTACTATGTTGATTGGCCAAGTTATTAGATGAATAGAAAAGTCGGAGTGATACTATGGTGTTGAGGTAAATGTAAAAGTCAAATTCCATGCAAAATTTTAGATGGCCTTGGTCAAGTTCCTAGGAACCCCCTATTTTACTTTGAATTGAGACATAGAAGGTCTCATATCCATTCTGTTTCTGATCATTCAATTTCCTTGCACACTTGAGTTTTCTTTTGCATTGTTAATTTTGTTTGTGTGTTTTACAAGTTATGGACTGCATGATTACTAGATTTTCTTTTTCTTGCTTCTAAAGTGTATTTTTATCAGTTGTATATATATTTCTTATTTTTTTTTCCTTTTTTGCATACTCTTCGGAACATTGTGTCCAAATTCTCTTGTTGTTGAATCCCTGAAAATATTTGTCATTTATCGATACACAAATACAGTTATTAATGGTGCACTTTATTTGCAGCCACTGCTGGTTATCCTCGGTCAAGCCTGATGCAACAACAGCGTGATGCTATGGGAATGCACCATCCCAGTGACGTTTTGAATCGACAATATGCAGATCAACTAGTTCATCAGGTTTGCTGTCCTCAATTTTGTCCATCTCTGAAAATTTTTGAAGAAATCCTCAAACTTGTTTAACTGATCTATTTCACTTCTTTAGCAGGTGGCAGCACATGAACAGCTCCAGAGACAGTTAATGATGGAGCGGGATGCAAGATTTCCTCACCCCATGGTTCATGATGAATACATGAGGTAAATTTTCTATACTTGCAAGGTTTTTAAAAGTCAGAATATGGATAGCTTGTTACATTTTTAACATTTAAATGGTCTGTTACAGGCAACAACGTGAGCGTGAGTTAAAAGTGAGAGCTTTAGAAGAAGCTGCTCGTGGATCTCGTCCTTAAATCACTTGACTGTGAGTATTACTTATTCTGCAATGGCTTATCAAACTTGGGCTTATATTGAAATTGATGACAGTACTGCAGGTCCTGTTGTTTTTAAGTGAAATCTAAATATTGATATTACCTGTTGCAGGTTGATTCAGCATGTCTTGAAGTGTATCAATACAATCCCTGCTTGTGCGTCATCGCTCAACATATTTATATAGTACTCTTAGAGCATATATAAGTTGCTTTTATATAAATCACGTTATCTCTAGATTCTTTTTTATTATAGAAATGTACAGTAAATATTAATCTATCTGTGTAACTATTTAATTTAATTTTGAACATATGTGTGAGTAGGTAAATCCCTAATTTAAGATTTTATTATTAACTAACAAATAATCATAGACTGGTGTACAAATGAAATGTAATCATGGTAAATAAGCTATTATTGTATTGTGACAATGGGACACAAATACTTTTCCTTGCTATTGTGACAATTCTTTGCTTTCCTGTTGTAATATGAGTTAAACCCAGGTAGCTATAAATATTCTATGTAAACAAATGAAATTCAAGATCTGATGATAGCAGACTGCCATTTATGGGTCATCATCTCTTAATTGTTCATCTCTGTAAATCAGTATTGTGCTTGTCTCAGTTTTATCATTGCTGATAGTATGTGTGGTGATTGCAACTGCATATCAGTATCATGATATTTTATTTAATGTTGTATTTTGTTTTTCTTCAATTAACTGAAGAAAAAACGCCTGTTTGAGTTACTCAATCATGTTTAGTCAATTTGTCAAAATGTGTTCCTTTCTGTGTAAATGATGTACACACTCACTTCTTGGTGGTTACCTAAGTTAGGGCATTTTTCCTTTGTTGTTTACTTTTTAAAGAGACAGAAGATCCAAACAAGCTTGTACCAACGATGCAAGGTTTTATATTGTTATCCATATTGACCTAAAAGTTATAGAGATTGGTTTCAAAATGAATTAACTTCACTTGTGGGCACAGTTAATCAATGAGAGCTGTAGTGTTATTGTCTTTTAACAGATTGTTGGTTTTTTAACAAATATGCGCACATAATCATTTGGTTTTTATGAACACTGACAGATTGTTTTCTTTATTTATGTTTTTATACATATTTTTCTTTGCTGGCGGGCCAGCATTCATCCTTAAATTATACTCAGCTCATTTGAAGAAAACCCAAGGAAGCCTTGATCTCTCACATGAGTGCTAAGAATGTGAGTTTGTATGTATGATTGTGTGTGTGTTCGTGTTTGCTGTGTGTGTGTGTAATCCTACTCACTGCTTTTGTGAAGATGTGTGTCTTATCATGAGCCCACTCCTAGGTGCTTTTTTCCATTTTTTCACTTCAATCTTTCCTGTTGCTTGCACTGTTTTTCAAATACTATATTCATAGAAGTAAGAATCCATTCAATGAGGACGTTGGCTGAACTATTGAATAATATCAATATCTCTCCTGCCAAATTATTTAATGAAATGAAAGAAAGTGTTTTGTTTGCAATTTTGTGCTGAAAGCTTGATTAATGCCTGGGGGACTTTCATTCTTCATTTGCGTCACTATCTGTTAAAAGATAATTGGCAAATACCCTGGCAGTAAGAGCTAGCAGCTTTGGGCACAGCCACGTTAGTAATTTTGTATATATATTTGCAGAATATGTATATATCTTGAGTGGGCTCGCTGACACTATCTCCACCTAGCAGGTGACTGATGGACACCAGACATAGAGGTACTGGATCAGCAGTGCTAAGTTCAAAGCTGCATGTAAGCTATTAAGTTATGATGAGAAGGCTTTGTGGACCCAGTACTTCATTATCTGGTTGATGGACTGACTGTAATTTTGTACCGAGGGACAGGTGTACCACCTTCACCCTGTTTCTCGGCAGCCATCCCAGTGTTGGTGTTTTTAGATAATAAACATTCTTCTCTCTGGGTGTCAAATGTTGGATCTGTTTTTACCCTTTTCTTCCCTTTTCACAAGAAAATGGAAAGAATCGAACTACATGCATTGTTTGTCATTTATTTATTGGTTTTACTTCTTGCTGCGAGACAAAATGTGCATATTTTGAAGCCAGACCGGGCTCCAAGAGCAGCGGAACAGATGACAGAATCTGTAAATATAAAATAAACTGTGGAAGGACAATGTATTATGCAATTTACTTTAAAGTATGTGATTTGATGTAAAAACCTGTTGAATGCAGTTGCGTGTCAAGGTGAGCGATGTAGGAGGTAGCAAGTCGAAGAGTCTCTATTTTTGACAACTTGCGATTTTTCGGCTCTGTAGGAATCAAGGCACGAAGGGAGCAGAATGCCTGGTTCACGCTGATGAAGCGTCAACACGTCAACATTATAGGGCGTTCAAAGGGTCGAGTGCAACGGGCTGATGAAGTGGGAATGACCAACCTGTGGGTGCGATCCCTCTCCCGTGCGTTGGCCTGGTTCCTGTGGACCGGATTGGAACCGCCTCTGTCTCGTACCGTTCCCATGTCTCTCCCGTCTACACTCGAGGACTGCGCTCGCCTCCACTGGAGTAAGGAAAGGAAGGAAGAGGACGTCTGCATCCGGGGAAAGACCAGCCGCGCCGCGGGGAGGAGGAAAAGGGGGGGGGGGAGTTGATGGAGCGGTCTGTAAATGAGGCTCGAAGGAATGAGAAAAGCAGCTATCTCGTGTCGTTGGGAAAAGGGGTAAGCGAACGAGGGGAGAGGGGGGGAGGGCGCAGCCATCGACAGCCCGTTAATTTGTCATCGCTACAGCAGCTGCCGCCGCCGCCATAGGGCTGTCTTGGGCGCGTTGCGCGCACACGCTTGAGACCATCCCACCCCCGCCAGCCATAGGACGCGTCCAAAAACACACGCCGCTTCGAACACAGCACCCAGGGATGTCATAACTCCCCACTCCACTCTAGATTGCTTTTGGCGCACTGTACTCCGAGGGAATGACCCTTGAGCCCCTTGAGATGAGTACTCTCTTTGCAATCGTTTGGAACTGTTAGCACCTTGACAGAAATGGAAAGGGAGAGCAGGAGCAAAGAGTGAACTCTGTTAAAAATCACTCTAACACTACAAACCGACAAAAACAATGAGGAAAAAGGTATGGTTTTCTATTTACCATTAGCGTTGATTGGATCTGGGACAAAACAAATAAACTAATTATTAGAACTTTATCCAATA